AAAACTACATGTAGTGATAGACATCATCGCTCAACCCGATACCCACAGCATAATATAGAAAATTGATTAGCAGAAAACATGCAATAAGACTGTTCTCTCATCTACCTTTATATCTTCCTACCTTTACCATTCTCGGAGACTTTAACATATACTAGTACACTTGACTCTAACGCCTTACCTACTCCATTCTTTCATAAATTAACCATTCCACCTATTATAGGAGGTTCCGAATGTAACCACTGCCAACTTATCCAACCACTCACGACATACACTTACTTCATCCCAATCACTACTCTACCCTTTACTCGATAGTATGTTCTATCAAGACTTGTTAACTGTTTCAATATGATACCCTTCCAAGTTAAGACGTACCTTTTCATTTACATCATGAATACTACCCTACTTCTCATTATTAAGAACACAAACAACCTTTCTAACTAACTATTAGAAACACATGGACCCTCGTTAACCATTATCATATAACCTAATGAATTAGTATTATCATTTATAACTAAATCCTAGTAACAAGGTGTAACCTCTTACCCTTCAACATGACAATACACATTTATATACAATACCATGCACTATCGAGTTATCGCTTCGGGAGCAACATACATTTTCACATTATCAACAACAAAAAGTTATGAATGTAATAATCACAATTGGTCCTCTCATAGAACTCACACCCAAACTGCTAGTGTGTCAAAACATGACACTCGATCCAAGATAAGTATATGTGTCAATATGTGGCACATGATCTACTATATGTATATGTGTTGGTACGTGACACCTAATTCAATATATACATATGTGTCAATATGTGACACTTGATCCAGTCAGCATAACCACAATCATAATCACATCGTAATGAACAATTAGATAAATACATATTAAATTATTATATCCATGGCAAGTAATTGTGCATACTTAGTTGTTTCATTAGGTTCAATCCAAAAATCTCTAATCTACATAATGCATAATCGAGGTCATTATCAAGTTCATATCACACACTCAGGAGATCAAAACATCACCTACTCTAATTTATATGACGGGGATTTCCCCAAACGGTACACATCCTATGTAACAACTAGGAATACAGGTACATCCATCTCTTATTTGGTGCACGAAGGCCGACGCATCAATTTTACCATCAATTATCAATATACTACGCTGTGACACGAATTTAAGACTACTGAATTATATGACTCTAGCCTACCTAGGGGACAAGCAGTTGAAGAGGGATTGTAGCTCCAATCCTTGCTTCCAGAAAACAAGACAATGGATTTTGATCGAAAATCTGCAAGCTATCGTCAATCTTACGCTAGAAATATATCTATCCTTCCTTCTCAAGCCTAAAGCAACCTTCTGAGAGTTTCAGGGATGATCCTAGCCTCTTTTTGGTGTTTTGGGATAAAGGAAAAAAATAAGACTTCGCGTTATTTAAGTTATGTCCCGACCATTCCCCTCTGGCGCTTCCAACCTGCTGCGTCGCCGCCCTAGCGGCATCATCCTGCTCTAGTGGGATGGTGGGGGTCTAGTTCTCCCGGCGTTTTGCCTTTTTTAAATAAGGACGGTTCGAATCGTTACATCAACGATCCCCTAAACTTTTTATACAAATATATTTTCATCCTAATTATAACAGTTCGACCGATAAATTTTGACCAACAATTTGAAAAATGAAAATGCCACAATAAACTTAATGTAAGTTATTTTATTTTTTGCTTTAAAAAGTAATTACCTATATCTACTTTTTTGTATTAAATTTTAATGGTCAATTAATGATTATTTTGTTTTATCTTAATCGTAAGACTTCAATTTTGACTAAAGATTTTAAATGTAAAATATATTAATTAAGATCTCTCTATATATTCTACTATATTAGAAGCATGGATTTAGAAAAGGCGTCACATGTCTGCTTATTGTAAATCAATTTATGTTTGAGAATAATTATTATAACTAACTATCTATAATTTATAAATTATGTGAGAAAATTTATATCTCATTACAAACAAGAATCTAGGCCTTTCATTTTCTTAGGAATTGACATGTGACTCCACATTTCTTTTTATTTTTCACTTTCTTCAGTGATTTTTTATTTATTATTTCCTCCATTTTCTCTCACGAGAAATATCTTCCAGCCTTCTCTACTGTGATTCTCAAGTACGATACTTTTGTTATCTTTTTTCGTTGCTCTTCAATTTACTCATTTATTTATTTTATCTTTTAGATCCTTTTTCGTGATTTGAGTAATATTGGGCATTTGATATAATAATGGCTTGATAGTTTTGATTGTGGAAAGAGAAGATAAGAGAGGAATTTTGATTAGTCATTCCCCCAAATTTTTAAGTCTAAAGTTGTTTTCGAAGTTGATATTGTAGTTTGCAGAAATTGATACTTTTTACTTGCATAAAGTCAATCAAATTTTATTCTTCCAGCTTTCTATTGAATTGATATATATGTCTCGGTTGAAAAATATTCAGGGGAAAAAAGAAGTAATTTTGAGTAGATAAAGGAGGAGAAAAAATAGTGAACAAAGGAAAAGGTTGATTTTTGCTACTTTCTTCACATTTTTATTGTTCTTGCATGTTCACTTCGATAAGTTTCGTTCTACCTGATTTTGTATTGTGTTATTTAGCTAATTTTGTTCATCCCTAGCCCATTTCATCCTCTTTCATCTCGTAGAGATGTCAATCAAAGAAATTTAATTTCAAATACTGAATTTACTATATTGAGAGGTTCAAGTTGGTAAGCTAAAAGTGAAGTTGGAGTCATGTTTGATGGATTTTCTACAACTGTAAGTATACATTTTATTTGTATGTATAAAATTATGTCAATCTCAATTTTTCTAGGATAGAAGTTGACAAATATATAAAAACTGGAAAACAAAGTGAAGATCTTTTCAATAATCAGGTGTATATTTTAAAGACTCAAATAATAGCTTTGGCAAATTGAATAGATCTTAAAAATAATTCTACTTTAAACTCATTACACCTTATATAGTATATTTTATTTGTCAATTTACCAAAATGCTCATATTAAATGATGTATAATCTTACGATCTTTAAAATTGATTTGGGAAATAAATAATTGAGGTTTAAGGGAAAACATGAATTGGTTTTTGTTTTAAAGGTACCATCTCTGTTTTGATTAATTTATATGTTATTCTGTTTTATTTTAAGAGTTAACATTGATTGTGCATGTGCTTTAGAGGAGTTTGATGAAGGTTTAGATTTGTTGTGTATGAGAATGTTATTAAGATACGGTAGATGGTGAACTGTATTTAATCTTCATGTTTGTAATGGTGGGGATTTCATATTGTAATTCGATAGCAGCTTGCATATTCATGCTAATAGATAGATATAAATGACAATGTATTGGGATTAAGGCTTAGTTGTTATTATATACTTATATCAGGTCCCTTGTCTGCCAGGAGTTTGAGTTTGGTTAAACTCTTAAATTTCATTATGAAGTAAGTATTTTCATAAACTTATTAGTATTTTACCATTTTCATAGTAGTGTAGTCTATCACAACAGTCTAAGAGAGCAATGGTGTTGTTGTAGCACATAAAGAGATAATATTTTTGGTCTTGTCTCTATTTCTGTTACATCTATCCTACCTTTTTGGCGGATTTTATTAACTTATATGTGTAAAAATGATGACGTAAAAGAGTTAAACATTGCCAATGCATAGAAAATAAACTCTATTTTTCTTGTACAACCTGAAAATATAATATGAAATGCTTCAGTTGACCTCAAGATTTCAAATATTGGATTGAGTGTTCTAACCCAGCAAGACAGGGTAACTATTCTCTTTACTTTCCGTTGTTATTTACCTAATGAAATCCTCGACTCTTCCTTTACTTTGTGGCTATCAATTTAGTAATGCAATGGAAATACAATTATTTGAGCCTTTATTTAATTTGTTGACCAAGGGAACCTATATATCTTTATAGTCCTCCATTGATCCCCAAGTTGGTTCATGGTCTCAAACCATTCAACAGAAAAAAAAAAACTTACTCACATGTCCCTCAATGTGGTTGTATGTCAACATGTGGCGATGGAGATTTGAAAAGATGATTAAAGTGATATATCATGTTTTCTCTGGTGTCTTTTTTATTTTAATTGATTTAGAGTCGCAATTTTCTTGTTCATACATTTTTTTTCTTATTTCAATCTAGCATCTTTGAAAATGTGTCCATCTTTGAGAGAGATGAAGTATTTTCCCTTTGTATGATTGTCCAGAGTTTGATCTTACCATATTCATGCTTAACTGGATGATTTTTTATTAATGGAAATTATAAGTATTGACACTCAATTTTGGCCTTCCTTAATATAATTAAGGAAAATTGTATATAATAGCAAACTAATAACCTAAAATAAATGGAGTAGCTAGGGTTTGATTTAATTGTACTCC